GGAGCCGCGCGGCAGCGGGAGCAGGACGAGCCCCGAGCTGGGTTCCCCTGGCCTGGATCAGTCACTGTTTTACAATACAGAAAGCTGCAGCCTTACTGCACGGGGAAAAGACCCCACCTGAACTGCAGAAAGCAGGGCTGTTAGCCCAGACTGCACCAACAGCGCTGGTGGCTGGAGTAACTCCAACACTCACAGTCGGGCTCTGCTTTTGGAGAGTTCAGTCTGACTGAAGGGTGAGGCCGAAGGAGGGAACCATTTCCATGAGATTTCCTCAGTTACTGAGGGATTTCCAGCTTGTCCAGCAAGACAAGAATCTCCTCAGGTGCCCTAAGGAAAGGAAATCTCTGAAAAATCCTGTGAGCAGCCAAATCCTTCGGCAGACGGATCTCCTCAGGATGCATTAACTGGCAGCAGGCACGGGCCACAGCCGTTCTTTAATGATGCTGCGCACCGAGGGCAGCTGACAACACGAACAAAGACCTCAGATTAAATCTGGATGGGAAAAACAAGTTTGATGTCTGTTCAAAAGACTCATCGGCAAGCAACGAGTAGATCTACCATACGAGTAAAACTCAAGAATATGTGATTTTAAGCAGTACAGAGTGATTGTTTTAGAAAGATATCGTACAGTTCCTGGGCAACCATTGCAGCCTCTGCATCTTTTCAAAATTCAGTAGAGAATGAGTAATGTAGATGTATAAGGGCAGCGCCAGGTAACCTAGTTTATCAACTGCACCATATACCAATCTGTCATTCTTAATGTAATATTTGACTGATTGCAATGTAAGGTCATCAATGCAAATACAAAATCAATAATGTAGGATGAGCTCAGATTAACACCCAAGTGTTAGCAGGCGTGCGAAGCCCATAAAGGACAATACATCTAAAGTAAATCCTACAGACAGGATTCCCTTGTATTTAAAGCTTTACAAATATCACCATACATACTTAAGAGAACATAAAGTGAGGCTTCAGCCCCTTTCTCTGCCCACACTTAACCTTTACTCCACTAACAGGTGGAAGGAGTTTGAACATGAAGCAGCCCCAGGGACCTCAGGCCAGCTCACCCCAACAAGCTGCTGCACCTTTGCTCTCAGCCCCAAACAGCAGAACTGTTTCACAACCCAACATGAGTGACGGACCAACAACAGAGATTAATGTGTCTTATCTTGGTATCTCTATCAAAGTTCCAGTACCCTATTTAATTCTGCTTGGACAGTGTCCAGGATTGAGATCCAAATAGATAAAAGGGACATGTAAAGGAACAAAATAATGTAGCAATTGCACAAAGGCAAATAATCATGAAACATGTAGGGTACAGATCAAAGTTCAGTTATTTAAATGTAGAAAAAAAACCTGTTAAATGTGACTAGGCAGCTGTGATTTTGAATACAATGTAGTTAATGAGCAGCATAATACTCAATAGCAAACCACTGCCCTGTGCTGCTGGTACGTTTTACCATTTCTTGGAAATCTAAGCTCTGGGAAATTAAGTGAGTCAGTAAAAACTAGGGCGTCCATTCAGAACAGAGAGCTTACTTGCTATCAGTAGAAGAGTAAGGCTATGTTGCACAAAGTGTATTTATTATCTTTCTAGGAATACAATAAATGAACTTGTGCACTTAAAGTGCAAAGATTTTGGCATTTTCATTTGGTAATAGTGACTCAGTTTTATTAGAAATAGGCTAAAATTTAGAGCATTTCAGTGTTCACCAATTTGCTCTCCTGCTAAAAAATGTTTTCTAAATTTAACCTTTACAGAGATCAGCGTTGTTACCAAAATGTGAAACCCTTGCTTTTTTTTTTTTACCACAAATCTGACTCTTGGTTGGTGAATATTTACAAAAATACTTTTTTTGGGAATGTGAGTTTGATTAAAAGTAAGCTGCACCTTTTATAGGCAAAAAAAAATTGCAAATAGCAATTACTTTAAATTTGTAAATTTTTATATGAGAACATACTATAATTTTCAAAAAACCTTAATTTTATACCTTTCCTGTAATAGGAAATTCTCTAGTCTTTAAAATCTTACACACAAATAATGGTACTAATACCTGCTTTGTTGGGATCCTTACAGACAAAAATGCAACTGGGATTCTTCAGGGAAGGAGATGTGACCGCTCTCCTTCCCCGCTGATGTTGCCTTGCATCATTCCATACTGTACAGCCAGAAGAAACTGGTCTGCTCCTTTGGTCGCTCGTGGAGGTAAAACGTTATTTGCCTCCTCATCGGTGTTCAGTTCATCTGCAGCTGTGTGGAAGCATTCACGGCAATGAAAGAGGCAAATGCCAACGTGTTGCCATGATCAAGATGTAAGTTTAAAGCAGCAGTGATCCATCTTCATATTTTGTGGAACTGGCCTTTCGCTGTAGAATATGATACTTAGTGATACTTAAATTTAATGTCAAATAATTGGCCAACATTTGGGACTTCCATTACTAATAGTGATAATACTGCCCTGCTTTTGGATTTTATTCTTTGACGGCAGCATGGAACACACTTGACTACTTTTGTGGCAGTGTGCATTAAAACCAGCATCTTCAAAGACAGGAATCAAACCTTGCCGCCGTAATCATGTAAGACACCTCATAATCATTGATACTTTTGGGGTCTATAGTTCTCATCTGAAAGCATTTAAGAGGCATTTACCCTTTAGATACAGGTTTTCTGTGCTTTGCCTGTGTTTGAAATTGCTTTTATTCCTGATAGGCAATAGGAATTGTCCTTTGGTTGCTCTAAGCAAAAGGCCAGCTTGACAAAGGGACAGCAAAGTCTCTCTTTTTTTCTTCTTAAAAAAAAATTACATCAGCTACCAAAACAAGTACGCTTGACAACAAGCGTCATTTCATGAAAACCAGAGCCTTTTTCACTTGGGATCTGAGGAAGCTTTCCCCTTTCTCCACATACTGTGGCATCGTGTCAGGATATATAGGGCATTCAGGCTTGCTGAGCACCTTTAGTACCTTAAGGCCCTTTCTCAGGTCTAGGAAGACAATTCACTCTTTTTCGAGGTTTTCTTACCGGTGGACTGACACAGAGTTGTCTACGGGTAGGTTCAGCGTGTAAGGTATGGCTCAAAGAACAAACTGTTTTCCCACTGAGGATGAGATTTACAT